CACATCAACATGATGATCTGCAATCTGTAAGTTGTTGTGTTTATTCTGGCTGCTTTGTTGTCGGAATGGATTGGATTTTGATTTGGCTTAAATATCGCTTGTTGCTGTTAGCTTCATCTGCTACTTCAGTTTTTTTCCAATTTCGTTACAGTTTCAACATTTTAGCTTTGAAATTACACCGTGCTGCCCATAATAATACGTTTTAAGAGAACGCAATGAAACTTGGGCATTAGAAGAAAGGCGATTTCTTTTGTATTCGATTCAAGCTACCAACAATGCAAAGAGTTTTGCAAATTTTCAAACGTCAAAGTGTCATTTAATTTGAATTCATTAAAAATTTGTTTGGCTTATTTAAAAAAATGAAAATAATTGCGAAAGATTATAAAATAAAACTAGAATTAAAATAATTCGTTTAAATTTTCTCAGTATGACAGATCGGTATGCTCAACTCCGCTTACAACAAACAACAGTCGATCGTCTACACCCAACAACACCCACCACCACAACAACAACTACAACAACAACAGCAATAATAATAATAATGTTTTCAATAGCAACAATAACAACATTTTTAACAACAACAATAGTTTCAACAACAACAGCAATAACCATGGCATCAACATGGTCAAGACAAGTTACGATGATGATGATCAGTCAAATTCAGATTGGGGTGATGGTAGGCAAGTCAGACCATGCCCAGATGTTCCTCTAGGTAGCCATGATGATGATGATGACGACGACGATGACGATGATGACAATAATTTTGTGTGTAATGATGATGGTGGTGATATTAAGGAAAATGAGAATGAAGATGATTGTGATGATATTGAAAACAAATTTATAAAAACTCTGATAGGGATTGTCCACTGGCCCGTTGCTAATTTATTTATGTAATAATTCAGTCTATAATTCAACTCATTCACCAAACAAAAAATTCATTTATTTTCACTTTCATCAATTTTTTTCTTCACTTGTTTGATTTATCTAATTGTATATCTATTTGTCCATTCACACATCCCTCCATCCATCTATTTTCATCTTTCCCCATCCATCCATCCATCCAATTATCCATCTATCTGTTCTTTCATCATTCCATCAATTCATTCATCCATTTATCTATCCATTCACTATTCCATGTAGCTAAATTGTTTTTTTTTCAAATTGTATATTTATTTACAATCAACCAAAAAGACCAGCCTAAATGAAGCGTAATTGAAATTTAGCTGGTTGTTGGACGCAAATATAAAGCAATAAATAGTCTGGAGAAGGCTGCGATGGGAACTTGAGAACTAAAAAAAACACCATAAGCCACCCAAACACCATAAACCACCCAAACAAACACAGAAAAACAGCGGGGTTGGTGGAAGATAGATGACGTTGAAACCCTCAAAAACCTCCTCATGTCTTTGAATGGTAGAGGCCTAAGGGAGAAAGTTCTACAGAAATATCTGGAGAAGAATTTTGAAACCGTGTGCCAGAGTAGTTTCAAGATGAAGAAAAATAGTACGTTGTTTCGTTTTTTATTGTATTTGTTGT